CCAAAATTCCATTATATCTGCTAACCCATATGGGTTTTGGAGAAGGTGAGACTGATAAAGGTTTTGCTTAAAATATATAAGTTCAACAGTTTTATAGAAGTTCTTCCCGTTTCAGAGTTTCATTGATTCTTTGCATCAGTTTTCAAATGCATTAAAGTTTATAAAGACACGGCTTTTGTTTATACTTTCGTTTGTAATACCATTCAGGTTAGTTTCCTTTTTTATTGCATATGGATGATTTATTAAGATGTGGAGTCTAATTTTTCAATTATAACATAATTAAGCATTCGTTTGGATATCTTTCTTACTGCTTTCTAAAGCATTATTTTAGTAAAAAAATTATAAATTAAAAAAAAAAAATTGTACTAAAAAGCTGCTTTAAGAAGCAGTAAGAAAGTCATCCTAAAAGAAGCCTTAGGCTTTCTTACTGTGTTCTAAAGCATCATTTTAGTACAAAAATTATAAATTTTAAAAAAACTGTACTAGAAAGCTACTTTAAGAAGCAATAAGAAAGCCGTCCTAAATGAAGCCTTATACTTTCTTACTGCTTTCTAAAGCATCATTTTAGCACAAAAATTATAAATTAAAAAAAAATTGTACTAGAAAGCTGCTTTAAGAAGTAGTAAAAAAGCCGTCCTAAATTAAGCTGCTTCGTTTAGGACGGCTTTCTTACTGCTTCTTAAAGTAGCTTTTTAATATAAAAATTAATTTTTTTTTTTAGAAATCTACTTTAAGAAGCAGTAAAAGAGTCGTCCCAAACAAAGCCTAAATTATTAGAAAAGCAAAACACAGCATTGTAAAGGTATAATGAGATTTACGTCATCCCCAATCTAATTCATGAGTAGTGTGAATGTGTGATTGTTTCCCAGTTATGCATAAGCTTCTACTTTAAGTTTATTTTAAGATATGCTGCGCTTATTTAGGCTTCGTTTGGGACGGTTTTCTTACTGCTTCATAAAACAACATTCTAGTAAAAAATTAATTTTTTTCTACTAGAAAGTTGTTATAAGAAGCAGAAAGAAAGTCGTCCCAAACGAAACCTTAATATATTGTTCTTCATTAACTACAAGTCAAATATGAACTGAACTGCCAGATTTTAAGTTGCTTTTACAATCTTCTCATGCCATGAATAATTTCGTTTTACAACGTTGATCTTTACGATTTGTTGCAGTCAATATGATGGATGGAGGTTTTCTTCTTGTAGGCTAGTTCATTTTCCTAGCAACGAGTGCTCAATTAAATCATAGATGAAAATTTGACTAATGAACTAAACCTAGATGTTAAAGAGTGCTTATTCTTGAAAGTTAGTCTTCTATGCACGAAAAGCTTGGTCTCACAACATACATCGTTGTTAAGATATTGAAATCGTTGCCGATGAAAATTATAAAATTTAGATCTATTATGTTCTGAGACATTCGTGGCAGTAGAGAGATAAAGAGGTAAATGTCTTAATTTTGTACAAATATCCAACACATATACATATAAAGAGAGGGGGGAAAGAGTCATAGGGGAAAAATTGAAATAAATTCATAAGTATTTGTTGTTGTTTATAAATGATGCGCTTTCTCAAAGAAATGCATTGGCTCAATGTAGATAATATTAAAGGTATTCTAAAGAGAACGTTGGCCTTTTCGTTTGGTTGGTAGGATTGTGGTACGGCGACATAGTTAGTCAGAGGGACCGTAGTTAACGAGTACCGGTAGTTGAAAGGATCGTATGTGACGCCCCAAAATCTAATTTGGAAGAATTATTTCTTTTAAATTTTAATTTACACAATCATAGCTATTTAATTTCTTTTATCAATAAAAATACCAACAAAAATAAATTATCAAACAAAACATCAATATATACATAAGTATATATTTCTTTCCCAAAGATATTGTACACTAATCAGGATCTATATTCTATACAATCATTAAATACAAAAGAATAACTACTAGCATAAAGAAACAAACTAATAGTAAACCTAAAAAATTCTGGCTAGTCTCACACTCCTGATCTTCTGCCTTAACTTGAAAATATTTAAACCACATATGATAAACTAAAAAAATTAGTAGGTCACCAAAATTTACAATAAAAC